GCTTTTCTATGTTCTTGTTTGTTTATGTATGTTTTGTGTTTGTTGTAAAAAATAAAAAATTAAAAAAACAACAACAACTATATTGCTGAGGTAAACTTGAACCATTAGGCAACATGCATTACATGGAAATTGAAAAGTATAGAAGTTCCTTGAATATGGATGTCTTCTTTTTAATAAGTTTTTTATTGTTCATTTTTTCCTGGAAAGTGATTTTAATTCTTCTACTATTTTCTTGAACTGAAATCTGGGTGCTCACAGCTGAAATAGACTGGCATTTTTAGGATATGTACATATAATGCAGAATAGGCAGCCACCTTGTTAGTTCATAGAAACCCATTTGGTGCATGGAAACTGAAGCTTTATGTAGTGCTATAACCAAAAATAGCTGAATTTCTCAAAAACAAATGGATATATAATATACCATTACAAATTATTTGTATATGTTCCAATAGAAAGAAAGCAAAAGAACGCATGTGTCAATGATCTGAGAAAATTTATTCAAAAAGAGAATAATCAGGACCAACTCAGTGTTAGTACAAGGTAAAAAAAGAAGGGAACTAACTAGCCACTGCAATTTCATCTTTGTTTCTCCATTCAATCAGACTTTTTGAAAAGGGAAAAATAAAATATACAGGTACTCCATATAGATGGCTAATTTGAGAGAAGGGATTTTTAAATTCTAAAATCAGCTTTAAAGTTAATTTTGCAAATTTACATGTCAGAATTTACATATCAGATTTTCTGAATTAGTGGAGACTGGCAAAGCAATTCCTCTTTCACTTCTTAAACTTTCTAGTTAGTTAGTTCTAAAATCAAGATAGAAACTTAATCTATCTTTCCAGGGCCAGGTAGAACCTTCAGGTAACCAGAATGGGACAGCTAAGTAGAGGAGCTAATTTTAGATAGATTAAAATGTATCAACTGTACTGTTCACTCAATGGCTGAATTCATACAAATTGCTTACTGCGTCAATGATGAGAGTAGCATTTTATATGGACTTGCTAATCTAGCTACTACTAGGCTAGGAAAGGAGTGGTCAAACTATCTCCCCCAAAGCAGCCATAGTTGTGAGAACAAATTCAACTGAGGAATAGTGTCCAAGTCCCATCCACTTAGTCCTCCAAGAAAAAGAGATGGAGTTGTGGAATGTCTAAACATGTAGGGCACTGCATTGAAGAGCTTACAGAATTTGGCAGCTGCAGAACATATCTCTCAAACTCTGATGGGCTGTGGTGCCTTAGCTGTGCCCACTGTTGCCTGCCTGGCCAGTGGAGACAAGCCATTGACATAATGAAGGCTTGCCAGTATTCTCACCCAAGAGCTGATAGAGAATCAGGCAGGACTCATGGATGATTTTGTATTTCCCAGAATGGCAGGCCTTGACCTAGTTACTGTGCTATAGGATCAGAGGGTAAGGAGCGATGGTTGATGTGTTGGGTGAACCAGGCCACTAAGAATTTTTCAAGCATAAATTTTGAACATAATGGTATATGCATAGATTTTTTTAAAAAAAACCTTTACTCTTCTTTCCAAAGGAACATTGTATTTGATCATTCTTTGAGGTAAAAATGTGATTACTGTTTTATCTTTAGGATTTCATCTCTTCTGTCTGCAGTATACTTTTTGAATCCTTGTTTCCTGGCTCATCCCATCCAACCAGATTTACTGCATTGACTCTTTTGGGAACAATAGCTGAAATATTTCCTAATTCAGAAGGTAGGCTATCTTAAGGGGATTTTGTTAAAGGGATTTGCCAAAAAAAGTTAATGTAACAGTTTTAAAATCTTTTTCTCATCCCAAAAATGAAATTGTCAAAGGATAAGAACATTTTTATATTAGAAGATAAGAACCATGTTTGGATGATATAATGCTGCCATCTGTAGTTTAGTTATAAACATGCTGGAGGGTCTCTTCCCCAGATGGCATGGCTGCTGTCCTGCCATAGTTTGTTTTAAGTTGCCCTTTTATCCTCTCAAAAATGATGGCTACTTTGTCTGAAACAAAGCTGAGAAAGAACCTAATGTTTGTTCTATGGTTCCCTTTTTGACCTGACATGTTTCAATTAGAAAAAAACATTTCATGTTGAGATCCATTTAGAACAAAGGAGTCTGTAGATATATTCCCTACTAAAATATACAGGTAATCCTCGGCTTACATCCATTCATTTAGCGACTGTTCATAGTTACAGCGATGCTGAAAAAATGGACGTTTGACCGATCCTCAAAGTTCCATTCATCGCAGCACGTGATCATGCTCCAGGTGCTTGGGTGCCTTGCCCGTGACTGTGATGTCATAGGGAGCCGCAATCACATGATCTTCATTTGCGACCTTCCCTGCTGGCTTTCCACAAACAAACTCAGTGGGGAAGCTGGCAGGGAAGGTTGTAAGTCACTCCGATAAGTCATTCCCACTTTTTCTCCCACCCACAGCAACCCCCTGCCCACACGTAGTCTCTTCTGGCCCTCCAGGGCCCTCCCCTGGTCTCCCGCAACTTGTGCGTGGCCTGCGTCAGCCCTCCTAGGCCCTTCCCCACCCTCCTGTGACTCGCATGCAGCCTGCGCTGGCCCTCCCCAGCTTCCTGCAGCACCCCTGCAACATCCCTGCACTCCTTACTTGGGACTCCTGCCTCTTCCCACTTAATAACCTGGATGTCTTGGAGTTATGACGGCAACTGGAACTGCTCGGGATTGCTGTCGCTAAGCAATGCAGTTGTGTGATGTCGCGCTTTACGATTGCATTGCTTGGCAGTGACAATCCCGGTCCCAATTGCTGTTGTAACCTGAGGACTACCTGTAATACTATAGTCTAAATACGCCCATTATCTCAAGGGTGCAAATCTTAAATTTTCATCTGTTATTTCCAGTAGATTTGCTTGTTCATGTTTAAAGTGAAAGATGGATGGAAGAAGAGTGTTAATCAGTACAGCTGTATAGCCTAGTTTTATGCTTTTCCCTAACTGTTAGTTACGCATCCACTTGGAAGAGGGAAACAGATGGCTTAATGCAGGCTGAGATGCTTCTGCAATAAATACATATTGATTTCAGTATCAGCAGCTGATATGATTAAAAAAATAATCTGAACATGCAAATCCAAACATGCATATGCATGTATTATCATAGCATTTTACAAAATGTCAAATAATCAACCCTCATTCTTGTGAGGTGTACGTGGAAATTCTCTGAATTGTAATTCTTATATTATATTAGGCTCCTTTGAGAGGAGAAATGGTATAACAGAGAGGCATTGTTTTGATGTTGTGGTTGCTACTGTTATTGCTGATAATGATACCATGTGGCATCTCCCTACTGCATAAGAAAGCTTTTCCTCGCCATAGTCTTACCATATAATATAGTAAATTTAGGCTTTTTAATATGGTAAGTAATTCCAGATGATAAGATCACCATTAGAAGGGATATTGCTCATGACTGGTTGTTCTTTTTTGCAGCCATGCTCCTCATCAGCTGTCTTTGTAAATATTTTCTTTTTTAATAGGCCAGAGCCAAGAATTATTCCAAATAGCTCAAGAAGTTGATTGTTCTCGTGCTGAAAGTCTGCTGCATTGTTTTGCCAGTACTTTTGAGGAAGTAAAGACCTTGGCATTTGATCTTCTAATGAAGCTTCATGCTTTCTTGCCCTATTTTCAGGTACTGGCACAGCTTATAGATACTGACAGTTTCAAAATTACCAGATGTAAAATTCCTGTAGCGCTGATTAGACATTGATTAACTACAGATAGTCCTCGACTTACGACCATTCATTCAGTGACTGTTTGAAGTTACGATAGTGCTGAAAAAAATGGACTGATGATTGGTCCCCGAAGTTATGGCCGTTGCAGCACCACCGCAGTCACGTGATCAAAATTTGTGGGCTTGGCATTCCTCTTGCACTTATGACTGCAAGGGTGCTTCTGCCCCCCGCCTATCTTGCCCCCCATCTCTGCCCTTTGGGCTGCCCTGCACTCTGCCTTGTGAGGCAGCAAGCAGCCCCAGAACTGCACAACTCTGGGGCTGCTTGCCATGCTGCAGCTCAGGGGCTTCTTGGTGCCTTGTGGCTCTGGGGCTGCAAGAAGTCCCTGAGCCATAGTGTGAAGCCACAGCTGCCCCTGGAACCCTCATCTACCCCACCCCACTCCAGCTGCGCTGCCTTTGGAAAACTGCACTGACTTTGGAAAGCCTTTGGAAAGAGAGCGCAGCTTTCCAGAGGCTTTCCAATTGAGTGAAACCACTTCTGGCAGTCCCATTGGCTGGCATTCTTATTTGCGCTGGGCTGCTGGGCCAGGCTGGGAACCATATGTAGGAAATGATCGCCTGAGAAGCTGGGTCTGAAAAGGAGACAGCAAAGGCAGTGAGGTGCTTCTGCTTCAGCCATGCGGCTGGGTGCAAAAGGCGAAAGGTCAGTGCGGGGAATTGGGAGAGAAGGCAGCTAGGCGAACAAATGCTTGCTGGGGCTTCCCTGGTGCTGCAGTGTGCTGGCGCTTGCTGGACAGGCTGGGGTGGCTGAGGCTCCCAGAAGTGGCTGTGGCTTTGTGCTGTGTTGCAGCTCGGGCTTTTAGCCTCATAGCCGCAGCATGTCAAGAAGCCCCTGAGCCACAGTGTGGCAAGCAGCCCCAGAGCTGTGAGGTTCTGGGGCTGCTTGCTGCCCTGCAAGGCAGAGTGCAGGGTGGCCAAATGGGCTGAGATGGGGTGGGAGATGGGTGGGGGTAGTTGGAGGTAGTCCCTTACCTGATTGAGGTTCAGGACTGGGAGGACCAAGCCCAGAATGGCATGGATTGGGGTGGGTCTTCAGCTAACAATTAGTGGAATTCGCTTAACAATGGCAATGGGGATTGCTGGGATTGCCATCACTAAGTAATGCGGTCACGTGGTGTCTTGCTTTACGACCACATCTCTTAGCAATGGAAATTCCAGGCCCAATTGTGGTCATAAGTTGAAGACTACCTGTATGCTAATCAGATGTCAGGATTTCTCTTTGGATGTCCAGATGATTGAGCATGTTACAATTAGTACTCAACAAACTAGCATTTAAAACTGTTTAATTTTTTTAATTGCATATTTCAGGATCTTGAAAAACTGCAGCCGTTGTTTCAGGTAGCTATGCAGCTCAGCAAAAGTTCCAAGCCATATGACTGTGTGACTGCTTCCTATCTACTGAACTTCTTGATACATCAAAAAGGACTGTTGAAGATCTGTTCAGAGAGTCATCAACTTCTGGGCATGTTTCAGCCAAATGAAGATACACCTGCTGACTCACTAGAGAGGAATACTTTATCTGGTCATTATTGCACATTTTGTAGTTTCAACTTCCATTCTGTATTGAAAGATGATGCTGATATATCCAGAGAAAATCATCATATTCAAACAATGAATATGTTTCTGTTTTTGTCTTTGTTTTCAGTTTTAGTTATCAATTTGTTCATGTAATGAGCTTTTAAAAGATTTCTGATTCAGTGTATTTGCTTTTTTGAATTTTTTATTGACCTGGGAATATTTATTGAAACATATAGGGCATAAAAATATCTGCAATAATCCCTCTCTCTCAAATGACCCAACCCCCAATTCTCTGGGTCTCATATTATATCCAGCCTGATATCATGTGTTCAGAATCAGGTGCCACTTTTCATTTTTTGGCTTTGGAAACTTCCCACAGCAAATTTCATTGACTTTAGTGACAATATTGGCTGCACAGTATTGCCAATCCTTTTTCCCTTTTATTTTCTTTATCCCTTTATTGGGATAAAGATATCCCAACATCTTTAATCCTTTTTCCCTGGACTGCTAGGAGGTCAAACCAATCAATCTTAAAGGAAATCAACCCTGATTGCTCATTGGAAGG